GGGGGGGCCCGGGGAGGGTGAGCGCTCCCCCCAGCCCCACCGCCAGTGCCGTGACCTTGGGACGGGGCATGTGCCACGGCCCCAGTTAGTGGGATCCTGAGGCAGGAGCGTGCTGAGAACCGAATTCCTGCTCCCGCGAGTGGTGCGTGCTTCCCAGCGCCTGGGTGCGCGTGGGGGAAAGGGCCGGGCTCAGCCCCTGCGCTGGGGGCAGGCTCCTTAGTGTTTCACCACCTTAGGCAGGAGCTGGCACACCTGGAAAGACAAGTCATTCCCGAAGCGTCAGCCGGGAAATGGAGATTTCTGTTACTGAGTGACCGCTGTTACTGTCAAGTACAGAGAGGTTTTACCTCTGGCCATGCTGCACTGAGGATCTTGGAGGTTTCCAAACCCGTCGTCGAGCTGCGAGGCGCTGCTGTTCTGTAGGCACCGAGGAGCAGAGTGAGGAGTTGGGCAGCACTGTGCGAGGCTTTGTCTAGAAAGGATAAAGGGGAAACGGTGGCAAACAAAAACAAAAGGTGGTTTCTAATAAAAGAGCCTTTTATTAAATTCGGGAAAGCTCCTTTATTGTTGGTCACTTGTGTTCTGCTTTAGATATAATCCGTACTATCCGGGACCCGGAGAAGCCAAATACTTTAGAAGAACTGGAAGTGGTAACGGAAAACTGCGTTGAAGTGCAGGAGATAGGAGAAGATGAGTATCTGGTTATCATCAGGTTTACACCAACAGTACCTCATTGCTCTTTGGCTACTCTCATTGGTAAGATTCCTGTTTCGTTACACCTGTATCAGCGAGTGTAAAGTTAATTTTAGGTTGTCACCAGTCTGGTTAAAATGGAGTTTTACTTTGCCAACAGTTTGACCATCTTGAGAACCCTGCTAGCAATGAAACAGACACAAAAGCAGAAGAAATGTGGGGACGTGCATGTGGTTTTAGCAAGTTAGGGAAACTTCAAAGAGAAGCTCCCAAATCTACTGGGAAGTAGCCCAGAATTCCTTCTTTATGTTCTCCACATTATTTTAGTAATGTTAAACTGAGAATTTGTCACCTCTGAAATTTCAACAAAGGTTAAAACACGTTGATTGTCTCCCGTATCTTCCCCTTACCTGCGGGGCTGTTCTTCATTCCCACACTGCAAAACAATGCCTGAAAAAGGCTCTGAACCCTTAGGAGTGTGAAAGCCATTAAGCTGAATGAGAATCTGCACTGGCTGATTTTCCTTTTCTGTCTTATTTATGCTGAGATTGCATCTGGAAAATCATGTCTGAGATCTCTAAAATGATGTAAGTGTGCCAAGATTAGCACCTCTTTCCATTATATATCAATGCTAAGATTTCTCAGCGTGTTAAAGATTAAGGGAAATTAAGTTTTGAATTTAATGAAGAACTACATGTATTTATGCCTAAATAAAGCTTTGCAAGTTTATGCAGAAAGTAAAGTATAGAGAGTAAAGCATTAGCATGCCAAGCACTAGTAAGTTATTTATAGGCTGACCCTGCTGGGAGTGTCAGTGGGTTAAGGCTCAGGCCTGAGGATCAATGATGCACACGTCAGATCTTCAACTTTGTGCTAATCATGTTCTCAACACTTCGATGTTCACCAGGCCCGTGGTGGCTGTTTGTGAGTGTTATCAGCGTCCTGTGACCTTTGAAGCGCAGCAGCTCCTGCTCTTACAGGACAGTGCTGTGGCAACTGGGTAGTCTGTGTAAGAACGTAGGCAGTAAATAGTTTGGGGTTTGTTTCCCGAACCTCCTTATCTGTACAGAGTACTCTAACAGGGAAGTATTTTCTCTTCTGAGGAGTATCTGCTATTGCTGTTACCGCTGGCTCAGCCCAAGGACAAACCGGGGCTGTGGTATGGGTCTGTCTGTGTAGCTCCTTGCAAAGCCAGGCCTTGTGGGGAAACTGCAATGGGCTGGTGCTGGGAGCGTCCCTTAACTTACATCTCACCCCCAGGGCTGAACTACAACACTCCTCTGCTGTACTGTGTCTGGGAGGTGTTTAGAGACCTCCTAAGCTTGTCAGGCAGGTGTGAGCTTAACTGAGAGGCCACATCCAAAGGGTCAAACCACAAATTGTTTAGTCTCTGTGGCTTGTGCTGCTCAGAATACACAAGGAGGTTGTCAGTTCTACTGGGTTTTGTTTGTTAAATATGAATTCTCAGAAAATGCACCTCAAACCTTGAATTTTGCAAGAAAATCTCTTACCTCTTTTGTTTAAACAGGCCTTTGTTTAAGAATAAAGCTTCAGAGATGTTTGCCTTTTAGACATAAGGTAAAGTACCTTTTCTAGAACTTCCTTTAAACTACATGAGTGCATGCCAAGCTGTCTTTAAGAGGGTGTATGCTGCAGGGTCAAGTAACTTCCAAGCTGTGGGGTCTTTCTAGAGCTTGTCCTTTGCCTGTGGAAGGAGTGGATGTTGGAGCACAGTGTAGCACCTGAAGGGATCTGTGAATAACTTGGTTCTTTCCTTTACGAAAGACCATATATTGCAGCACTTGTGAATGCTGGGCTTCAGGGGGCTGCTTCACCTCAGCAGCTGTCATTTGGGTTCTTGCCTGATGGAAGAGGGTGGTTTCAAATCCAGTGTTTCAAAGAATTGAAGTGTTGGTGCTGCTCTGAAGTGGGGAAGGAGATTGTCTTGTGGCTGTTGCAGTGAAGTCTAAGCTCAGCTCGTGCCGTCAATCCCCTTCCAATGTCTGTGCACACTCGTTGCAGTGTGAATGACAGCACTGCATGTGTGCTGTGCAAGTTTGCCTTGCAGTAATGAATACCTTCAGCTGTTGATGTGTGCAGCTAACACTACTGCTCTCCCCTCCAGCTGGAAATCTACATAACTGAAGGTACACATTCCACCGAGGAAGACAGTAAGTGGAGCCTGTGCATGAGTGTGGCCTCACCCTGTGTCTCTGTGCCTTTGGGAAGTCCTTTCTTCCCCTACCTTCCAAACCTTTTCTAAATGAATACACTGTCAAGGCTTTAAAATGAAACAAGGAGAAATCCCCAGTATCTGTCTGCTGAGTAATTAACATGAGGAACTGCCTGACTGGTTGATCTCACCATCTTAACATCATCTTAACAAAAACACGTGTTTCGCAGTCAGTGTTTAAAACAAAACTTGGAGGATGTTGGAATTCTCTGAGCTGTGGCCCATCCCTGTCTGAAGGAGCTGTTACAGCCTTTGGCCAGGCAATGTCCCAGGAGTTTTTGTTCTTAAGCATTAGGTATCTTTGTGTGGCAAAAATCAGTTCTTTTGGTTCAGTGGCTAGAAATTGCACCTGGGCTACTAATTTGCCACAAATTTCACACTTCATTTCAAGACATGTCATTAGAGCATCTTACATGCTTTTCCTAAACTAGAAAAGTAACAAAAATGTTTGCTTCTGATGGTAGTTTTTGTGACTGAGCTTTCATTTCCTTTGTTCCCAATCCCCTATTAACCCCCTGACCTTTGACTTCTGGCTCTTGAGCACCCTCATGTTCTTGTTGTCTTATCACCCTTGTGTCTGGCACAAGCTGCTGCTTCTAGGCCACGCAACTTAAATGTCTGCCCTTCCAGTGCTCTATCAGCTCTTGTTCTGATTGCAATTTGAGGCATTATGCAAATAACATCTTCCACCTAAAGAGAAAGCTGAAGAGAAACTTGACACAATGTGCTGTCACTGTTCGTGTTCTCAGTCTCCAAACTGGCCATCCCTGCAGTGTGGCAAATCTTCCCTGCACTGATGTCTTGCATTTGTCAGTGTGTCAAGTACCACTGGGAACTGCTTCTGACTTGACTTCTCGTGGTGTTTTGCAGTCAACAAGCAAATCAACGACAAGGAGAGAGTAGCAGCCGCGATGGAGAACCCCAACTTGCGTGAAATCGTGGAGCAGTGTGTCACAGAGCCCGACTAGCAGCTGGGCAGCCACAGCTACCCTTTTGATACATTTCTTAAAGTATCTTTGTTAAAAAAAAGAGAAAATAATAATAATCAAGGCCTTGAGTTTAATACTTGAGTTCTTTCTATCTTCCACATCTTTTTTAAAAGGAATTGTTTATAAGATAGATGTAAATTATGACGAATTAGTCTTTAAAATAAAGTGAAGTGTATAGTGTTCTGAGTTGTAATTTCTGGTGTCCAGAGAACTATTTTATGATTAAAAGCAAAGCAACACACAGGCATTGCCTTCTGACAGACATTGTGATATAAATGCAGTTTTGAGAGGTGAATTTCTATGTTGTTTCAATCACTGCACTGTAAAAATAAAAGTTGATTCTTGTACTGAAATGGTGCTTTCTGAGCTCAGAGACTTCCTTTCTCTTCAGGCTTAGGTTTAGATTTCTGCTGGAGAAGGAAACATTTCACTCAACTTCCTTGTGGGTGAAGCTGAAATGAATTCAGAAAAAGAATTCGGAAGCAAAGGACTGGACTAGTGAAGGTAGATCCTTGCTGGGGCACTGTTCCTGCTACGTATTTGTGCTTTTCCGCCTGTTAAGTTCATGTTTCTGATTCTGGAGGTTTTGCTTTATCACTACCTGAGGGTAAAGTTTTCCTATGGGACAGATATTGCCAGCTTGATCCTGCTTTTTCCTAACAACTTCCCTGTAAGGTGGAAGGAGACAGATTCCTCCAGCCCTTCATCCCTCTGGTTCCCAGTGTCCTGTTTCTTGTTGCTGCTCCCTCTTTAATCTGACCTGGGGTGCCCCAGCTGGTGCAGCTTTACCGTTTTCTGACTGGGGAAGTTCCCCAGGGTTCGTTTCCGTCGCAGCTCTGGATGTGACCATGCACTTACCTTTTCCTGAAGAATCAGGCAGACGTTTCTCGCTCAGCTGCCCTCCTGGGGACCGATGTGCAGCACGTGCTGATGCTCCTGTTCAGCCACAGGAAGCCCTTGGTGGGACGTGTCTGATGGACTGTTGGGGTATCCCAGGGTGTGCTTTCTGGTCAGTCCATGGTAGTCCCCCCTACAGTGGTTCATGAGAGATTCAGTTCCTCTACGAAACAGGGATTCTCTGGTGGGCTTGTACGTGGTTACACGGGGAGAATTCCTGGGAGTTCCGTGCAAACATCTGTTGAGATTTCAGGGATTTGTAACCATTTTAATGATAACCCACATAAAGCTTCCTGGAGGCAGGGAAGGATTGAGTGGTCTCCAGCAATGCTGAACATTACACAGTGGGGTGGGGGGCGGAAGGAGGGTCATGTGGGCAGGGTTTTAGGTGCATGAGGGACACGGGATGTTTCTCCAGGCCCGGGAGGACAGGCACGTGTCCCCTGCCCTCTCTCGCTATCAGCAAGTGGTAGAATTAGCCCCTCGTGTTATTAGTATTTTGCGTTTACAATAAGGAGAAACAACTGCAGAGGGCAGCAGCAAACCAGTGACACCACAGCGAGTGACTGCTGCATCCTGCCCCGGCTCCCACTGCCCACCCTGGTCTGCACCCGAGTCCCTGCTCCCGGCACCTGCCTGGCACCTCCTGGGGCTGGGAACCACCGCGGGGATCCTGGAGAGGCTGGGAACAGGGTGGGGAGGGGGGGGCGCCGTGGGGGTGCGACGGTCTCTGTAAGGGCTTGTCCCTCTCTGCTTGTGCCCATCACAGAGGAGCCACATTTCACAGCGGGCTCCTGGGGCATGCGAAGGGGTTTACAGCAGCTTCTGGACAGGGCTCTAGTGGAAGGTGTCCCTGCCCGGGGCAGGGGTTGGAGCTGGATGAGCTTTAAGGTCCCTTCAACCCAAACCAGTCTGGGGTTGTGTGAGTCTCTGATTCTGGTTTTCCAGGCAGCACATCACAGACCTGAAGCATGGTTCCAGCCCCAGATCACCAGGCTGCAAGTCCAAAGGGTCTGTTTGTGCCCTCTCTTCCTGCTCACACCTGGGGGGCCCCCCCCGCCTGGATGGCAGCAGGGCTACGTGGGTGCATCATGTCTGCATAAGCTTTACGTGGGAGTGTAACTCACTCCCTAGAGCCAGCACGGAGCCGTGGCACGGAGAGATGGGGCTATTTTTAGCATATAGATATTTCTAAATATTTACAGGCAGTTGTCTGAGCTTTCCTACAGCTCGAATGCAGGTCAGCAGCTGCGGGTCCTGGGGGTGGGAGCAGGGGCTGTGTGAGCTCTGCCTGGGGCCCTGTGGGTCCTTCCTCTCCTTCCCTCCCTCGACACGCTGTGAAGCAGATTTATCTGCTTTCTCAACAGAAGTGGTTGCTCTGAGCGAGCAGAACGTGCCCTGCCTTTGTGTCGGCTGCATGGGCAGGGAATGAGGCAGCTCGCTGGTCTGCCCTTGCTTTCCTCCTGTTTGCTGCTGCTTTACTTCCCATGGGAACATCCCTCTGCTTGAGCCCAGAATGGCCCAGCCGCTCTTGCTGGGGTTCAGACCCCAAAGTGTGGGACAATGACTGTTCCCTGCCCGACGTCCCCACCCTGAGCTGCTGGCTGCCATCGGCTGGGGCCGGAGAAGGCCCAA